CCTCATCTCAGAAATATAGACAGATACTGAAATGCCGAAACTTTGTAACAAATAATATTTCTAGCGTATTTGAACTCGCAATATTTTAGCGAGTTTTCAATTGTATTCGTGAATTCAGAATTTATCAGCTACAACCAAGGAAAAATTAAGTTGAAAAACGGCATCAGTATTAAGCCCGTCCAGCAATTTCTTTGCCTTGGCAGTAACATCCAGTTAACGGAGAGAGACATCAAAATCCGTAAAGGTAATGCCCGGGGTGTCCTTGATGGTCTGAACACCATCTGGAAGTCTTTCTTTTCTAAAGACCTCTTTGAGGCTACAGTAGAATCTGTCTTGCTTTACGGCCTAATAATATGGACACTGACAAGAAGCTTCACTTGACGAAACATACACAAGGATGTTAGGAGTTGCATTGGACATCAGCTGGAAGAAACACCCAACAAAGAAACGCCTGTATGGACACCTTCCTCCTATCTCAGTTATGCTAAGAGAAAGAAGGCTTTAGCTAGCTGGTCACTCCTGGAGAAGTAAGTCAGAACTTGTAAGTGACACCTTCCTATGGAATCCATTGCGCCGCAAAAGATCGGTTGATAGATCTCATCACACCTACATTGACCAACAGGTAGATGACTCTGGATGCCATCTGGAGATGTCTGACAGAGATGATTGGAAAGAACGAGTCAGAAGAATCTGAGAAGAATTCTAGAACCGATGATGATGATGATGACGATGATGATGATGAGTTAATTCACTGACTTTACCCTTACTTCTTTTGTAGCAGCAGGAAAAAATTGGATGAAGAAGCATGGAATTATTTTTTCTTCGTATATATATATATATATATATATATATATATATATATATATATATTTATTTAAATAAAAAGAAAGAACAGTAAGATATATAATCCGGTGTTCTTATAGATATTTTATTTTTACAAAATAGTGCTCAATGTAAATTTACAGAGCATTAATATTATAAATTAATTGATTAAAATATGTTTTTTTTTTCCGCTACACAGTTCTAACCATGTCTCAAAAATCCATTTTTGAAACATGGTTAGAACTGTGTAGCGAAAAAAAACATATTTTAAATCAATTAATTTATGATATATATATATATATATATATATATATATATATATATATATATATATATATATATATACTCGCGTATCAGGCGACTTTTGAAGACCTAATTTTGAAGCTAATTTTAAGAGGGTCGCATCATACACGCGATATAAAATTAGCGTATGTACTACTGACCCTGTCTATGCCATTGACTAAACTATATATCCATTTACTATAGTCAATACATACAGCTGTATTTAAAATAAACAGGATTTTGATAAGACTGATGTTTTACTTAACTGTATCCAATAATAATGCATTTAATATTCACATATTAATATCGTATAAAATACAAACACAGCGAATATGCGTTTATACGTTTATAAGATGTTTACCTGTTTCTCGTTTGATTGTTTATGGCTGTACGCGTTTTTACGCAACGAGTATAGACTTAGTAACGATACTTTTATCATTGTCTTTTACTTTTTTAACATTTTTTTTAACTAGAGGATGGGATAAAGAGATAGAGTGAAAAAAGTTAGTCTATATTGTAATTTGGTCATTCAAAGAAGGAACTCATATGATACAAGAAATACATGATAAATTCATTTTTTATTAGTGAACATTTGGGGGTTGCACAATACGCGAGATCACGCGTTACACAAGTATATAAGAAACACACACACACACACACACACACACACACACACATATATATATATATATATGTCTGTATGTATATAGGACGAAATAAATATAACAGCAAATATTTTTATTTCAAATTATATTGTGCACCAGGAGGGGAGGGTGTAATATTTTGCAGTCGACGAAACTCCTCAGAGTATGGATAAAATAAATCTATATTTCATTTTATTTATTAATAATTAATTTGCTTTTTCTTTTTTTTGAAAACTTTAATTATAATGGGTGGTTTCCTTAAAACGCTATCTTGGAATCAGTCATTTATGTAACATACGTGATACACACACACACATACACACACACACACACATATATATATATATGAAGAAATATAGTTTTAAGGTGTGCTATATTTATGGGATAAAATGTTCAACATCAGAGATAGGGCGTATATAAATATAAAAGTGAATATTGACGTCAACACTCAGAGGTGACAGGCTGCTTCATGCTAGACGCAATCGTCGGGCCTATATATATATATATATATATATATATATATATGTGTGTGTGCGCGCGTGTGTGTGTGTGCGTGTGTGTGTGTGTGTGTGTGTGCGTGTGTGTGTGATATTATACGTTTTACCAGTTTGTAACTGTAAAGGATAATTACGAGGAGGATATAAATCCAGGGAGAGCTCAATGTAGACTACAGAGCATGTTAATGATAATAATAAGACGGAGACTTTATTTCATCCAGATTTTATCCTCTTGGGAATTTATATATATATATATATATATATATATATATACATTGACCACTAACATTATCTATCTATCTATCTATCTATCTATCTATCTATCTATCTATCTATCTATCTATCTCTCTCTCTATATATATATATATTGACAATAGTGAAAAAAGAAAGAGAAAGAAAAACCTAAAAGCAAATTTACCTACTCAGTAACGTAAAGAGCTCGAAGCCTAGATTGCATAGACGAGCAAAAAATGCTTAATAATTTTAAATCCCATGAAAAGATGGCTCTAGTCGTAACTCGAGTTTTACGCTCAGGCGATCTTGAGATGATTGAACAGTTATTTTTGATAATATATAAAATATATACTGTATTTTTTTTTAGTTTTCTTTTAGTTTTAAGGTATGAAATATTTAGGGAATAAATATTTAAGTATCATTGATATAGTATATGTAAATATAAACGTGGACATTGAGGTGAACATACAACACCGACAATCTTTTTCATGCTTAAACGCAAGAACTCTTAATATTCTCCGGGAATTTATCACACACACACACACACACACACACACACACACACACACACACATATATATATATATATATATATATATATATAATATAAAGGGTATCAACGACTTACGGTACGACGTTACCTGATTTTCGAGGTAGGTTGGAACTCACATAAGCCGCCACAATATCCTGAATAGCACATGTAAATATAAAAGTGTACACCGACGTCAACACCGAACGAAAAATATAGGTTTCATGGTTTAACGCAATCTTCAGGCTCTGTCATTATTGCTGACCACATTCTTAAAAGATATATTTTAAAGATTACGTTCACGCATGAGACAGACTGTAAGCGACCGGTTTCGCTCCCGCTCTTCAGGCCTCTATGGGAGATTTAACTTAAGTTAAAACAATTGTGTTCAATTTTTTTTTCCTTCTCTTTCTCATTACACATTTTTCTGTTGTTTTAATGTAAGTTGGATCTCCCGTGGAGGCCTGAAGAATGGGAGCGAAACCGGTTGCTTTTCTTTTAAAATGTCTTGTAATATTAAGCTTCACACTTTCATTTCTGTAATACATACATATACATATATATATATATATATATATATATATATATATATATATATATATATATATATATATATATATGTGTGTGTGTGTGTGTGTGTGTGTGTGTGTGTGTGTGTGTGTGTTTTGTGTGTAGTTTTCGTGGATTTGAATAATACGTGAGATATTTTTATGATATCATTGCTTAGTTGAATTGATTGCGCTGAAAATACTCGGCCAGACTCAGTATCTGTCTATATTTCTGAGATGAGGTATTATGTACACTATTTACATTATTCGGACTATTGTCCTCATCTTTGTTGATATATTTATTACAACGTTTCGGCCCTTCAGTATCTGTCTATATTTCTGAGATGAGGTATTATGTACACTATTTACATTATTCGGACTATTGTCCTCATCTTTGTTGATATATTTATTACAACGTTTCGGAAGTTGTACACTCCGGCCTTCTTTAGGTGGTTGGAATGTCGAACTGAACCCTTTATTTCGTTCGCTGGGGTAGACTGTTCTAGTTCCACGTGCCATGTTTAATGGATGTCAGTTGTCAGTTATCGACTGTTAATTTCCATTGGATAAAGGCGTTGGTTAGATCCAGTGAGAGGGCCCAAAGAGTGTGAGTTCAATACCCAGTTAAGGCAGTGGAGAACTTTCAGTGGGAAATTAACAACTGATAACAGACATCCACTAAACATGGCACATGGAACTAGAACAGTCTACCCCAGTGGGCGAAATAAGGGGTTCAGTTCGACATTCTAACCACCTGAAGAAGTCCGGAGCGTACAACGGCCGAAACGTTGTAATATGGCGACAAAGATGAGGATAATAGTCCGAATAATGTAAATAGTCGACCAGACGCACTTATCAAATTCGGGTTTTGACCAAATATCTTAATTAACCATGCATTATAATTCTTAGTTTTGGAAAAGTTGCTCGGGTTGAAAAGTCTTCAAAATTCTTTTGCGCATGTCCAAAGGGAATATTTCGAGGAAGACGGTGGAAACAAGGTTGTCTTTTCCTGTTTAAATTCATGCCGTCCATATTGAGAATTTAAATCTATTGACAGTGGGAATCGGGCGATTACATTTACCAATCTCCATATATTTCCTTCGTGTCTTCGTTATTCGTTAAACGTACTAGCTGATTTTAAACAATTGTCAATAATCTTTTGCTGCAAGTGGAATCAATTGCTGCCATTGTCGACTCTACCCACACCATTACCATTCAACGTCACTTCCTGTTAATGGAATGGATTCTAAGCATGAGCAAATCAGTATCACCGAAAGTGGCGGGAAAATTCTGCTTGCCGTTATTGCATTTTTCACAGCGGGAAAACAAAATGGAGGAAAACCAAAGAAGTTAAGTATTCAGCCTTTAATTTCAGCCTTGTCAAATTATCGGAAGCCTCAACAAGCGGTCTACATGGTTCAATTACTCTTTCATTCCCTTGAAGTCTTTCTCTTATATTCATAATTACTTCTTTCTTGCTTTGTTTTTTGTTGTTGTGGCCATTTTTCCTTTCTTCCCTTCTTTCTTTTTAATATTCTCTTCTTTTTTACCTGTTCTTTCTTTCTTTCTTTCTTTCTTTCTTTCTTTCTTTCTTTCTTTCTTCTCAGAATTTCTCTTCTTTTTTCACTCTTTTATACGTCTTTTTTTAACTTGCTCGTTTCTTTCTTTCTTTTCAATATTCTTTTTTGCCCATGTTCTTTTCTCTAGTTCTTCATTTCTTTCTTTCTTTTTCGATTTGTTCTATTAAAGGCAATTTTTTTCCCTTTCTTTTTTTTCCAGTATTCTCTTCGCTTCTGCACTCACATTTTTACCCCCTTCCTTTAACTTGCTTCTTTCTTTCTTTCTTTGAAACGTTTTTTTAATTCACTTTTTACTTCTTTTTATACTCTCAATAGATTTGTATCTATCAATTCTTCTTCCCCCGTGATTTGACTTTTGTGTTTTTCTTTTATCTGCCAAATGTAAGTTCTTTTATTTTTCATCACTTTATTCTAACGTTTTCCAAAACACACACACACACACACACACACACACACACACACACACACACACACACACACACACACACACACATAAAAGACTAAACCAACTCAAGACGTACTTTTATCGGTCGCTTCTTTCATTGAAAGCAAAAGTTCCGCCTGTCAAAGATATTTTCCCTAAAAACTTTGTCAGACGAAATCTTTTCTTTCTCATTCCACGAATTCATTAGAATCGTTTTGCATTTTCTCAAGGAACTTGTGAAAGAACGAAAGACAAGCTCATTGCAAATTGTGCCTTTCATAATATCACCATAAACTTGTAGTCGAAGAAACATCGATTGTGAAGCGTCTTCAGAGAAGTGCTATCAGTGCAAAGCGTCTATTAAACAATTGAAAACAAAATGATTTCAAATCATTGGGAGATGCAAAAGTCATTTATATCAACTGGTTTAATGTTGATATACAGTCTAAACACATCCATTATATAATCTGGTGTAGAGTTGATATATAATCTAAACACATGCTTTATATAAGCTGGTTTAATGTTGATATACAATGTAAACACATGCTTTTATAAGATGGTTTAACGTTGATATACCATCTAAACACATCCTTATATAAGCTGGTGTAAAGTTGATATATACTCTAACCACATCCTTTATAGAAGCTGGTGTAATGTTGATATATAATGTAAACATATCAACTTATAAGATAATTTAACGTTGATATAATATTTAAACACATATTTATATAAGATGGCGCAAAGTTGATATATAATCTCAACACCTGCTTTATATAAGTTGGTTTAATATTGATATATAATGTAAACACATCCCTTTATTAGCTGGTTTCACGTTGACATACAATCTAGATGCATCCTTATATAAGCGGGTGTAATATTGATACATAATTTAAACACATCTTTTTATTATCTGGTGCAAAGTTGATATATAGGAACTGGTGTAATGTTGACATAAAATGTAACACATCCTTTACATCGTCTTATGTCATGTTGATATCTAATCTAAACACATCCATTATATAAGTGGTGTAATGTTGATATACAATCTAAACACATCCTTTATATAAACCGGTGTAATGTTGATATATAATCTAAGTATATCCTTTATATAATCTAGTGCAAAGCTGATATACAATTTGAACTCATTCTTTATATAAGCTGGTGCAATATTGATGCAAAAATATGAACACATATAAGCAGGTGTAATTATACAATCTAAACACGTCGTTTATATAAACTGGCCATTCGCTAAGGCCTTTGCCTCCGCCTCGTTCCGGCATCTAAACTCGCTTCCTTCCCCTCTCTTTCTTGCCCTGAATCCTCCCCCATGAAGTTTAAGTTTTCCAAAACCTGATTTCTCATGATGTGTTCAAGAAATGTTAATGTTTTTTTTCTTCCTGATTCTGAGAAGTTTTCTTTCTGTTACCATTTTCTTTAATATTTCCTTGTTGCTTACCCACCCCATCTAAAATAATAACAACTGCAATCTATTTTTTCTTTTCATTTTCTTTCTCCCAGGGCGAATTTCTTTTCGCTGTAAGCTTACTGCCTACTTCTGTGAGCATGTCAAGGCTTTTGCTCTAAATACTCTGTGTGATTGTTGGTTGTATAATAGCATCTAAAACAAACGTGAATATAATGAGACAAAGTGGAATAGCTATCAACGACGCGTTTCGCCTAGAACGCTTGCTTCCTTCGGCTTCTTTAAGTTAGAATGAAAGAGAAAACTAAGGAAACATGTGTTTGTATCACAGAGGATAACAGATGACCAAACACCAGAACGCGTTTGCCTGCATTTTTTTCATATATATATATATATATATATATATATATATATATATATATATATATATATATATGTCTATATTTCTGAGATGAGGTATTATGTACAGTATTTACATTAGTCGGACTATTTTCCTCATCTTTGTCGCCATATTTGTCACAACGTTTCGGCCGTTGTACGCTCCTCAAGGACACATGGCACAGTGATAGAGGCGTTGGTTAGATCCTGTGACAGACGCAAAGAAAGTGAGTTCAATACCTGGTTAAGGCAGTGGAGAACTTTCAGAGGGAAAATTATCAGGAGATAACTGATAACTGACATCCATATGGCACGTGGAACTAGAACAGTCTACCCCAGTGATCAAAATAAAGGGTTCAGTTCGAAATTCCAGCCACCTGAAGAAGGCCAGAGCGTACAACGGCCGAAACGTTGTGACAAATATGGCGACAAAGATGAGGACAATAGTCCGACTAATGTAAATACTGCATATATATGTATATGTATATATATATATATATATTTGGTTGGATAGATGTGTGTTTGTGACCCTGGGTTTCACGTTTACCGATCGTCAGACAAACTGATTAATTTTTTTAAAATTTTGGGTTTATGTAGATTGCGTGTATTGGTGTTATTATGGAAGTGGTGGGGGAAACGTCGTCATTGTGTCATCATACTAACGCAAACATAGATGTATGTTCATACGCCTAATGGAGTACGCAGACACATATACATACTTGGTCATCCGTCGGGACTCATACATATATAAACATATGTGGGCAGTTTCGAATATGACATGTGTATGTATACGGGTGGTGTTGTGTCTATACATACGCATTTGTATGTTGAAATTCAAAAATTGGAAGTGTAGCGAAAATTTCCGCTTTCTAATAAGTACCGCGCATATAATATATAAATAATTATATATATATATATATATATATAAAATATATATATATATATATACGAACACACACACACACACACACACATATATATATATATATATATATATATATATATATATATATATATATATATATATATATATAATACTAATAATCTTATAAATATAAGCAGCTATACTCATCCAGCAAAACCTTAGGTGTTTTAGCTTGTAAATGAACAAAGCAATACCCAAGGGTAAAAAAATGGGTAAAAAAAGAAAGAACTAAGAACAGGTACTTCCGGTGAAAATAATCGTCTAGAATGAAAGTTCAGAGTCCAAAGAAAAAAAATCCTCAGACACGAGTAAATAAAAATAACTAAGCAAAGTTCTCAATACGCTAAGAAGAGCAAACTAAGTAAACCTAAAGAGACAGATAAACCTACCTAGGTTTCACCTACGCGGATGTCAGGGTAAACTGTTTACCTATAAATATTCTCATGGCATCTTCTCTGACGAGCTATTTTCACTGGTGCCCCGAATGCATGAATATTAGCGTGCTACTAGGTTGGCATCTCGTCCCCACCCTTTTACTGTCGAAACAGTCAAATGCAACCGCCTCTTCTACTCCAACAGCTTCTTCTCTCGCACTTCCGGACAGTGGGACTCCCTTCCTCTTACTTGCTTACCTGATAACTATAATCTTCAAAATCTTAAATGTAATGTCAATCGATATCTTCAGATACTTTGATTCCCGTTATTCTTTTTATCCTCCTCCGTTCCGCCATTTGTCCTTTCCTCACACCCATACTCAGTTTTTCCCTTACTTACACTCTCTGTAACACCTTGTGTACTAGTGACACTTCATCCTTGCTTGGGGTGAAATGCATAGTATATATATATATTAAAAATATGACTCCATTGCTACATAAGAGTTTTCATGTTTCAAAAGCAGAAGATAAAAACTTCAATTCGGTTATAGAAATTAAATTAAATTAAAGTACCTAGTTCTGTTTAATCCACAAGTGAATTTTGGCATAACTAATTTTGAAATTTACGGAGCTTTATAAGCATATACATTCATAATATTAATTTCTATGGATATGGAGAAAACCAATCATTTTAATAAGGGGCGGTAGGGTATTCATTTTCACTGACAACTATTGTATCAACATATTAGTTACTTTCGAAAATGCTTTCCACTTCCGCTATATATATATATATATATATATATATATATATATATATATATATGCGTGTGTGTGTGTGTGTGTGTGTGTGTGTGTGTAGCGGAAGTTTAAGGCATGATGAAGTGATGGCTGCCTTCGTTGAGGCTACCTGTCCCCGTCGATCAAAAAGACAACGTGTGGTGTGCTTCGCATGCGGGAGAGGATGGCCGTTACGAATCCGCTTGGGAAAAATATGGCCGCGGTAGTGGGCTGAGCAGTACCTAGAATTTGTTTCTGCAAATGATTCGTGTCGCTCATAGCGAAATTACTGATGCTTCTGGGTTCAGAATAAACTGACAGATTTCTGTTTCGTCTGTGAGTGACCAGTATTATTGTTGTATGGAACGTCGTCATTCAGATTTACTTTTTGTTCCTCCACCGCATTCTATGTCCCGGTTACGTTTCACATTCGCTTCCGCCGTCCTTGTGTGGAATCATCGTCGCCTCTGCCGAGGACGTGTCTCTATTTTGTTTTGCGTTCCGTCACTCCTTGTTTTTATCTCGGCTTATATATATATATATATATATATATAAGTAACGAAAATCTTGGTAATCCGTATGAATAATCTCAAGGAGTATGAAATCCTGATAGCTCAATGTTAAGTCAGAGCGAATAATTTAATTTAAAGAAAAACATACCACTTTAAGTCTCAATATGTTATAATTTATTTCACCAGAGAATTTTATTTTTCTTCGGATCTTCAGACTTCACTTTCAAAAGATGAAATGAAAAATGAATTAAAAATTTACACTTTTGACGGGCAGTATTAAGCTTATACAAGTTGACACAGAAGGTGGGGAAGAATGGTGTGAGGTGAGAGACATGGTCGAGTTTAGAGAGGAAAGGGAGAGTTTCAAAATTTATTTTTATATTTCTTTTTATTATAATACTTAATATTGAGGGAGGAAGGGGTAAGGATCAGACATTGACCTATTTAATCGGTCAA